TTACCATAAGACTTCTACTGAATATAATAAATTTCAGTGTTATTGCGGTTACAACCAATAGCCTGATTTTGCCTTACACACAGAGATACGCCAACAAACTACCGATCTTTTAAAAGTAGAACACAGTGCATGCGTGCTCCTACACGTGCAAACATATACATACATTTACAAAAACAGAAAACACAAATAATCATATCTAAACATAAATATGTACATATTCACAGACCCCTAAACACACACATTTGCATATAAATCATACACTACCATATCTGTAACACACAAAAAAAACATATTTACATACCAGCATACATACATACACAAACACATTCACAACCACGAAACCCCAAACATCAGCGCTACCAACGCCGGAGCCATATCGCGCCAGCATTGCCAACGCCTCCCACTCGCCCAGAATCATCTTGTGTCGCTCGGATCTCAATTAATCATCATCGCCATCACCATCCCCGCCCACCTGCATGTTTCCACGACGCTACAGGAGATGGATCTTGATTAACTGGGGTCAAAAGCACACTCGCTGCTTTCAGATGAGGGGGAGGGGGAGGAGGAGGAGGGGGGGCGGGTGTACTCTGTGTGTTAGCGAGATACTTAACACGTTTTGGTAGATTTGAAGGCGGGTATTTCAGGATTAGTGCGGGTTCATAGACACAGACACACACCGGTAAACGATATTTTCTAGCCAAAAGCATGTGTTAATAAAGTATAATATCACAACTGCATCTGATTAAACCGTATTTAACTGTGCTTAAATCGATAAGTTAATCAAACCCACATGCAAACATTATCTCGCTGCAAAGGCTCACTCACTGCCAGTCCTCATACGCCTACAGTCTTCTCTTCCTGCGGCTCTCATTCCCTCTCATCATCAAAACTATTCTACCCTCTCTTAACTCACTCTTTCCTTCCCTCCTTCATCCGCCCACCCACACGGCCTGCCTCCTGCGGGGAATCTCAAGTTGAATTCTCATTTGGAAGAAATCGTTTTATCATTATTATTTCTTTTATATATAAGACATTTTAATTTGTAAATTCTTCTTTTTTATTAGACTCTCTTTCTCTTTTTTTTCTTTTACTCTCTCTTTCTGTCTGTCTGTCTATCTGGCTCTCGCACATGCTCTTTCTCTTTCTCTTTCTCTTCCTGTATGTCTCTCTCTCTTTCTCTCTCTGTCTCTCTCTCGCACTCTCTCTTTCTCTTTCTCTTAGTCTTTCTGTATTTCTCCCTGCCCCCCTCTCTCTCTCTTTCCCTCTCTCTCTCTCTCTCTCTCTCTCTCTCTCTCTCTCTCTCTCTCTCTCTCTCTCTCTCTCTCTCTCTCTCTCTCTCTCTCTCTCTCTCTCTCTCTCTCTCTCTCTCTCTCTCTCTCTTCTCTCTCTCTCTCTCTCTCTCTCTCTCTCTCTCTCTTCTCTCTCTCTCTCATTCTCTCTCTCTCTCATTCTCTCTCTCTCTCTTCTCTTTCCCTCTCTCTCTCTTCCTCATTCTCTCTTTCTCTCTCTCTCTCCCTTCCCTCCTTCCTCCAGCGCGCCACACAGGAACCCAGACCTTGGAATACGAATGTCTCAGGAGAAGTTTGAGCCACGCAAGGAGCGGGTCTGTCCTTCCCTGATAAGTAAACTCTGTATGCAAATTCCCCGCGGATGGCGATGCTCACTTGTCTGACGGAGGGCGAGCTGGAAAGCGGGGCGCCGCTCCCCGCAGGGAAATGGAAAAATAACAGGAGGGAAAATTTAGTTACTGCTCCCTGGACGTGACTGACCCCCCTCCCCCCTCTTACCCCTCCTCCTTCACCCTCTCCCTATCCCCTCTACCCCTCCTTCCCTCTCTCTCTCTCTCTCTCTCTCTCTCTCTCTCCTTCTCCCTCTTCATAAATCTTCCACATGCACCGGGAGAGAGACGGAAGGGGTGGGGTGGGGGGGTAGAGGGGGTCAAGAATGAGGTTGGGGGTCTGATGATGTGTTCATTAGGGGTCGATCTGGGACGGATACACAAGAGAGAATGAAGTGTGTGTGTATGTGGGGGGTGGGGGGAGATGCTTCCTTCTGCTACAGGGTTTGCGTCGAATCTAACTTCCTAAAATCGTATTTGTAAAAAGAAAAAAAAAAGTCTACACTTACATAGGCTGCTTAAATCACTATAATACAAATGATATATCAGTAGATTTCTGGTTCTTAAGGCACAGAAGGGATGTTCTTGTTCACAGTTTTTGTTCTTGCCATGACACCATGTCAACTGGTCCCATGGAAAATGTTCAGGATCCGTTCCTTGGGTTTGTGGTTAGTTGCTATTACTTTTCCCTCTCTGTTATTTTGTCTGTTTGTATCTGTCTGTCTGTCTGCCTGCGCTCCTGCTCTCTCTCTCTCTCTCTCTTCTCTCTCTCTCTCTCTCTCTCTCTCTCTCTCTCTCTCTATCTCTCTCTCTCTCTCTCTCTCTCTCTCTCTCTCTCTCTCTCTCTCTTTCTCTCTTCTCTCTTCTCTCTTCTCTCTCTCTCTCTCTCTCTCCTCTCTCTCTCTCTCCTCTCTCTCTCTCTCTCTCTCTCTCTCTCTCTCTCTCTCTCTCTCTCTCTCTCTCTCTCTCTCTCTCTCTCTCTGTCTCTCTCTCTCTCTCTCTCAGTATCTCTCTCTCTCTCTCTCATCTCTTCTTTCTCTCGCTTCTCCATATCACACCTTCAACCTCTTCCTCTCACCCCCTTCCTCACTGACCCTAAGCACGTCTTTCTCCTTCTGTCTGTCTGTCTATCTTTCTATAAGTCTCTGTCTGTCTGTCTATGTCTGTGACTTTACACTCTCTCTCTCTCTCTCTCTCTCTCTCTCTCTCTCTCTCTCTCTCTCTCTCTCCTCTCTCTCTCTCTCTCTCTCTCTCTCTCTCTCTCTCTCTCTCTCTCTCTCTCTCTCTCTCTATATATATATATATATATATATATATATATATATATATATATATATATATATGTATATGTATATCCATATATATATATATATATGCTTCACCATCTTTCTCTTTCCCTTTCCATCCCCCCTCCTCAACACCCCCCCTCCCTGGCTGCCCACAAGCACGTCCTCCCATAAACCGCCGTGTGAATCCCCCCCCCCCCCCCACCCGCCGCCCCGCCTCCTTAACTCCGTCCAACTCCGGCGCCAATGAAACCCTAAGCGACCGTTAACTCATCTTCATTTTGCGTGGGTCATTAAGGCATCCACCGTAAATGACGTCATCGATTGTTGACTCCCCCCCCCCCCCCGGCAACCCCCTGACACACACACACATTGAGCGTTGGATATTGTCGCTGTAATTGGCAGCGGGGAGAGTTGTTACGACCTCGTGAATTTTCCCTTTTATTTATCTATTTATTTATTTATTTTCTTTCTTTTTTTTTGTTATGGGGGAGGGGGGGGGTAGGCGTGGCTTCTTTCTTTTTTGTTTTCTTCTGTTTTGACGTTAATGTGTGTTTTTTTTTCTTTATCAATATGATTTTTTTTCATTCCATTTTTTCTTCTTCTTTTTTGTGGATATTCATGTTCTTTTTCGTTTTCCGCATCTTTCTTATTACTACTACTGTCATCATCATTATTATTAATGGGGCTGTCTTACGTCGATAGCGTTTATCATTATTATAACATAGAATCGCGATCACCAGCATAATTTTCAAAATATGTATCAATTACTAAACTTACCGTTGAAACTGATTAAACTTACCGTTGAAACTGATTAAACTTACCGTTGAAACTGATTAAACTTACCGTTGAAACTGATTTTAACACTTACCCTTGAAAATGATTTAAACTTACCGTTGAAACTTAAAACTTAAACTTACCGTTGAAACTGATTAACTTACCGTTGATTAAACTGATGAAACTTCTTACTTGAAAATGATTAAACTTACGTTGAAACTGTTGAAACTGATTTAACTTTACCGTAGAACTGATTAAACTTTACCCTTGAAAATGATTAAGAAACTTACCCTTGAAAATTATTAAACTTACCGTTTTGAAACTGATTAAATTACCGTTAGAAGATGATTAAACTTAACGATGGAAATGATTAAACTTACCGTTGAAACTGATTAAACTTACCGTTGAAACTGATTAAACTTACCGTGAAACTGATTAAACTTACCGTTGAAACTGATTTAAACTTTACCGTTGAAACTGTTAACTTAACGATGAACTGATTAAACTTACCGTTGAAAAATGATTAAAACTTACGATGAAACTGATTAAACTTTACCGTTGAAATGATTAAACTTACCCTTGAAAATGATTAAACTTACCGTTGATTAAACTTACCGAAAATGATTAACTTAACGATTAAACTGATTAAACTTAAACGATGAAACTGATTAAACTTACCGTTGAAACTGATTAAACTTAAAATGATTTAACTTACCGTTGAAACTGATTAAACTTACCGTTGAAACTGATTAAACTTACCGTTGAAACTGATTAAACTTACCGTTGAAACTGATTAAACTTACGAAACATGATTAAACTTACCGTTGAAACTGATTAAACTTACCGTTGAAACATTAAACTTACCGTTGAAGCTTATTAAACTTACCGTAGAAAACTGATTAAACTTACGTAGAAACTAATACTAGGGAAACAGGAAACTTCATAAATCGGCACCACTTGTATCCGTCTGCATTAACGTGTGTCAATATTCACTTCATGCGAGTACCGCGTCAGGCGTGACCTGTCTAGTCGAGGCGGTGGTTTTAGATGTTCCTTCTTCTTCTTCTCTGTCTTTCTCTCTCTTTCTCTCTCTCTCTCTTCTCTTCTCTCTCTCTCTCTCTCTCTCTCCCTCTCTCTCTCTCTCTCTCTCTCTCTCTCTCTCTCTCTCTCTCTCTCTCTCTCTTCTCTCTCTCTGTATCTCTCCTTTTCCCCCCACCTACCTCCCCTTCCCTCCTCATCTCTCCCCTCCCCCCCTCTCCCCCATCCCTCCCCCTCTCTCTCACCCCACTCTAACCTCCCCTCCTCTCCTCCTCCTCCAGGCGTAGGGTTCCAAGTGGTCTGCATCGCCTTCTACGTCGACTTCTTCTACAACGTGATCCTGGCCTGGAGTCTTCGCTTCTTCTTTGCCTCCTTCACCACGGAGCTTCCCTGGACCAACTGCAACAACGAATGGAACACACGCAACTGCAGGGAGGTGAGGAGGGGTGGGGGAGGGAGGGGGACAAGAGGGGGGGGAGGGGGGAGGGGAGGTGGGTGGGTGAGAGGAGAAGGGAGGGAAAAGGGAGGGGAGGGGAGGTGGGGTGAGGGAGGTGGGGAGGTGGGGTTAGAGGGTGGGAGGGCTAGAGGGAAGGTAAGGGGATGGGAGGGCGGGGAGGGGAGGGGAGGTGGGTGAGAGTAGAAGGGTGGGAAGTTAGAGGGAAAGGGAGGAAAGGGAGGGGAGAGGAGGGGAGGGGAGGTGGAGAGGTGGGTGAGAGGAGAAGGGTGGGAGGTTAGAGGGAAAGGAGGGAAAGGGAGGGAGGAGGAGGGGAGGGGAGGTGGGGTGAGGGGTGGGGAGGTGGGTGTGAGAGGAGAAGGGTGGAAGGTTTAGAGGGAAAGGGAGGGAAAGGAAGGGAAAGGGAGGGGACGGGAGGTGGGTGTGAGGAGATGGCGAGGTGGGTGAGAGGAGAAGGGTGGAGGGCTAGAGGGGTGAGGGGGGCGGATAGGTGGAGTGGGGGAGGAAGGGGATGGCAGGGGAGAAGGGGTGGCGGGAGGGGATAGTGGACGTGAGAGGGCAGGGGGGGGTTAGGGGGGAGTGCAGGAGTCGGGTAATTATTTATCTAATAATTAGTTTATTTATTTGTTTGCTTTTTTAGTATTATCATTAATATTATTGCTGTTGTTGTCACTGTCACTGTAATTTTTAACATTGTCATTATTATCATCATTATCATCACCATTATCATCATAACAATTATTATCGTTATCATCAATATATCTGTTATAATTACCATTATTATCATTATTGTTATCATTATTCTCAATACCACCATCCTTACTTTTATCATCATTATCACATTTCCTATCATTACTACCACATTTTTTTTCATAATTATCATTAATACCTATTTCTATAGCTGCTGTCGTTATCACCATCAGTGCCATTATCACTGATAATGATATTACCAACATTGTCATAATTAACCTCACCAACCCAACCATCACCATCATCCTCACCAACCCAACCACCACCATCACCATCATTCTCATCACCACCATGATTACCATCGCCCACCATCACCATCGCGCCTTACCTCACGCCCCTTTATCCCTTGCAGATCGGCAGTAGTTACAATGACACGGACGACTTCGACTCGGACGACCCGAGCCAGGACGCCAACAGGACCACCACGCCCGCCGAGGAGTACTGGAAGTGAGTGTCAAATGGGCGGCTTCGTTGCTTTCCCTTGGAGTCGGAGCGTTTCAGTGGCGGTTTCAGAGAGGTTGCATTAGGTCAGGGTTCCACTGGGGAGGCGCTGCTCTGGTCCCTGGCGCTCTGGTTCCACTAGTTAGACTCTTCCCTGGGTCGCTGAAACTCTGGTTCCACTAGTTAGACTCTTCCCTGGGTCGCTGAAACTCTGGTTCCACTAGTTAGACTCTTCCCTGGGTCGCTGAAACTCTGGTTCCACTAGTTAGACTCTTCCCTGGGTCGCTGAAACTTTGGTTCCACTAGTTCGGTGGTTCTTATCTTTTTAGTCACGGACCCCTTTAATAATCTGATGAAGGCTATGGACCTCTTTTCCCAGAAATATTTACATAAATACAACTTTACACACAATGTCTACAGTGAACCGTATTCATTGAGATTTGATTGTCTCTTACATATACGGGATACACAAACTATTATCAGACTGAAGTAAAAATTACCTTTTATGCTAAAGGTAATGTTAATTTTAATTTGAACCTCATGGACTCCCTGAAACCCGTCCCAGGTTAAGAACCCCTTGTACTAGCCTAGATTCTTTCCCTGGTCCACTAGTTCCACTGGTTCCTCTCTTTAGACTCTTTCCCTGGTTCACTAGTTCCACTGTTCCTCTCTTTAGACTCTCCCTGGTTCCACTAGTTTCCACTGGTTCTCTCTTTAGGACTCTAGACTAGTCCTCCAGTTCCACTGGTTTCCTCTCTTTAGACTCTTCCCTGGGTCCACTAGTTCCTGTTCCTCTCTTTAGACTCTTCCCTGGGTCCACTAGTTCCACTGGTTCCTCTCTTTAGACTCTTCCCTGGGTCCACTAGTTCCACTGGTTCCTCTCTTTAGACTCTTCCCTGGGTCCACTAGTTCCACTGTTCCTCTCTTTAGACTCTTCCCTGGGTCCACTAGTTCGACTCTTCCGTGTGACCCTGAAGCCTAGGTTTCCTTAATCTGGTTCCAGATCCCCTTCCTGCTTCTCGTGATTGGGCTGGATTCTAAAGGTCCTTTGGTAGTATCATACGCACTTGCGATATTAAACAATTAGAATATAGATCACCCCAGTATCTCGGCTGGCTCCCTAAGTTTCCAGATAGCGGTGCCTATACCTGGCTCGAGGGGTGTTCATCCCCGATCTGACTTTGGTTCCAGAGTCAGACAGGACTAGTGGAACCTCAGATTCAGCGTCGTTGGGCGTTTATATGTGTGGCTGTGGAGCTGTGTAGCTTTTTCCTATTTCGGTACATATATCTATACACATTTGACCGTACATTCCTTCGGTCATATACATTCATCCATCCGTCTATCTATGCATTCATCTATGTATTTGTCTTCCAATCCATCCGCCTATGTAACTATTTATCCATGTATCCTCCTGCACGTCCATTCATCTATCCACCTAGCCGTATGTACATATCCATCTATCCATCTACCCATTTTCCCCTCCTCATCCATAATACATCTAACCATCATTCTACCCCTCATCCTTCTATTCGTCTTTGTATCCATCTCTTTGTCCACCTACCCACCCATCCGTCCATCAGCCAGTCTATCCACCAATCCAACTATCCCTCACTTATAAATCAACCCACACAGCTGTTCATCGAGCTACTGGCCTGAATCTCATCCCTCATTTTCCCTTATCCTCCTTTTCCCTCCTTCGTCCTTCCACATCCACACACAGTCTCCCTCATCCTCCCTCGCCCTTCCTCAGTTCTTTTCTCACTCTCTCATTCTCCCTCATCGCTCACACTGTCGTTCTCGTCCTCCCTCATGTTGCCTCCTTTTTCTGCCTCCCCTCCCTTATTCTCCCTCATTATTCTTTACCCTCCCTCTTCTTCCCTCACGTTCCTCCTCTTCATCTTCTCCATTCTCCTTCACCCCCTCCCCCTCCCCTCAACTTCAACCTCCCTCATACTTTCTCCTCCGTCTTTATCCTACCTCAACCTTTCTCTCTTCCTACCCACTTTTGACCTCCCTCACTACCCTCATTCACCCTCATCTTTCATCTCTTCTCTCATTCTCTCATCCTCCTTTAACACCTCCTTCCTCCCCCCCTCTCCACCCTGATACTCCCTCATCCTTCCTCATGTTCCCTAATCCTCCTCATCCTCTTTCCTCCTCCATCCACCCCCACTCACCCTCACCCCCCCCTCCCTCCCTCACCCTCACCCTCCCCTCATCCTCCCTCACCCCCTCACCCTCCCTCAGCCCCCCCCATCCTCCCTCGGCCTCCCTCACCTTACACGAGCGGAAGAGACCCCATAAGACTTCCCAGCCTGCTTATCCCCGGGAGTGGGAGGGATGAGGGGGAGTGAGGGGTATGATGTAAGGGATGAGAGATTTTTTTTTTTTTTTCTTTATATTCCAATGGATATTCACCACAAACTCAATGGATCATTCTGGAACATGCTGTCTGTTTTATTTGCCTTCATAATCTCCCCCCCTTGTGTGTTGCAACTTGGAACGGAGCCCGGGAGAGTGCAGATACTAGACCCCACTCTTTACCCCTGCGCCAGCCACAGCAGGCGTGAGGGGGGGGGAGGGGACGGATTGAGGGCGTTGAGGCCAGTGAGGGGATGAGGTTGCTGGGACGGGATGAGGTGACCTTAGGTGGAGTGAGGGGGGAAAGGATGAGGGGGGAGGGGGGTGAGAGGATGAGAGGTGGAAGGGGTTGAGTGAAGAGATGAGGGGAGGGGTGAGGCGGTAAGGGGGGGGAATGTCACGAGGGGGGTGAGGGGGAAAGGGCGGGGTTGGAGGGGGGAAGGGGGGGTTAGAGAGATGAGGGCGTGAAGAGGTGAGTGGGGTGTCAAGGGGTGAGGCAAATAAAGAGGTGAGAGTGGAGGAGGGGCAAGCGGAAATGAGGCAGGGGAGAAGGGTGAGGGAGAGTGAGGGTCGAGGTAGTAGAGTAATGACAGGGAGAGGAAGAGAGAAGAAGGAGGATGTGGAGAAGAGGGAGTGAGAAAGACAGATTGAGATGAGGAAACGGCGGAGGAGGGAAAGGGAGTGAGGGGAAGGAAGCGAGAAAGTGGGAAGAGGGGAGATGAGGGAGGGAATGAGGGGGGCGAAGAAGTATGAGGAAGAGGAACTGGTCAGAAACTCAGGAGGGGAGAGGAGGAGAAGGAGATGAGAGAAAGAGGGAATTGAAAAGACAAAGAAGAAAAAGATTTTGAAAGGAGAGAAAGGGTGAAAAGGAACGGAGAGAGAGAGAGAGAAGGAAATAAAAGAAGTGAGAGAAGGAGGAAACTGGATAGGAGAAAGAGAGGAGAGCTGGAAGGAAGAGAGAAGTGGAAGGGAGAGAACGAGGGAAGTGTAAAGGAAATACAGAAAGCAGCGAAAGAGCTAGAAAGAAAGTCGTGGAAAGGAGAGAGAAAAAATAGTGGAAGGAAAAAAAAGAGAAGAAATTGGAGAAAAAACAGATGACAGTGGAAGAGAAAGGCAGATAGATGCGGAAGAAAGAGAAAGAGGAAAGCGGATTAGTGAAAAAGAAGGAAGTGGAAGAGTGAAGTTGAAGGGAAGAGAAGAGGGAAGTGGAAGGAGAGAAAGAGGAAGTGGAAAGAGGAAGAGGGAGAGGGAAGTGAGGAAAAGGGAAGTGGA